TCCATTATCTAGAACGTTGCAATAGTTTACAGGTCTATTAAAACTTACAATAGGCAGCTTATTAGGTCTCAGTTTTACCTCTGTACTAAACTGTTTTAAAAAGCAAAAAACAGTGCTCGTGGGGGGAAAATGCACCCAGTGAATTACTGCTGCGTGCCTCCTGTTATTGGTTGTCCTTGCGTTGATTCCAACTCATGGCAAACTGTGTGTACAGAATAGATCTAAGTACCATATATACGTGGATAAGCCGAGCTTTCAGCACATTTTATGTTTGTGGTTAAATTAAGTGCCTCGGCTGATTTTTCGGTCAGCTTATACTTGAGTTGATAGGTACTCCATAGGGATTTCAAGGTAATGACCTTTCAGCAACAATCGCCAGGCTGGTCTTTTAAAGTACCTTTTAGTGAGTTGAAGACGTTTGGCTAGTCTTCAAACACTTAACTATTTGCACCACCTGTGGACTTGACATAACTACCTAAATGAGTAGTCTTTTTAGAGGAGCTGTTTTAAAGATTGTTCTTGATTCCATTCCAACTCGTGATGACTTCAGACACACTGGTTCCAGAGTAGCACTACTCTCCACTGAGGTTCAGTGGCTGTATCTTCCGGAGATGGATGTTCAGGACTTTCTTCAGAGGTGTCTGGGTGGATTCAAACGGCCAAACTTTCCGTTAGCAGCTGAGTATTTAACCCTGTGTTCCACTCAGAGAGTCCAGAATTTAAGAACTATAATGCCCAATACTGACGCAGATGCAGAGCCACCAGAAGTCTCATGTAGTGCTGGTGATGATTCATTACAGGACAGCCACCTTGGAGATTTACTTTGTAATTTAGTATAAAAGTAAATTTTACACTTACTAAATGACTCAGCACTCCCAATCCGAGGTACTTACTAAAGCCAAAACTCACTACTTTGATTCTGACTTATAGCAAGCTCTCTATGAAGTTTCTGAGGCTGTAAGTCTTTATTGGAGCAGAGAGCCTCCTCTGTCTCCCTGGTGGGGGTGGGGGTTTAAACCACCAACCTTGATGTTAGCAGTCCTAATCCGTACCTGGCAGCACCACTGGGGAATAGATACAGAGAATGAAATACTTCTCAGCAGGAAAGGGCTCCTGGTGGTGTACTGGGTTTGTTTGCTGAACAGAAATGAAAAAATCTGAATTCCACAAAAATTTGGACATGACTAGTATAATGGCTTGCTAAATAATCTCCCGGAGCCCTGGTGGAGCAACAATTAGGTATTTGGTTGCTAATCTCACAAGGTTAACAGTTCAAATCCTCTAGTGGTGGCTCCACGGGAGAAAAACTTGATAATCCTCTTTTGTAAAGGTCACAACTTGGAAAACCCTTTGGGGCAGAGCTGCTGTGTCACACGTGATTACTATGAGTCACTATGACACCCAACAAGAGCTGTAAACCACCAAAACTGTAAACAGCTTAAGTGTCCCTCAACCTTAATATACAAACCATGGTACATCCACATTATGGACTACTACTCAGCAATAAAAAGAATCAGACTACTGATGGATGAAAAACTATGGGTGGATTTTAAATAGTCCATCGGTAGTTTAGTCCCTTTTATTGCACTACCCAGCCTCAGCCCACTGTTATCAAGTTGTTTCCAACGCTTAGTGACCCTATGGGACAGAGTAGAACTGCTTCCTAGGGCGTTTAGGCGGTCAGTCTTTAAGAGACCAGACAGCCTCATCTCTTTTCCATGGAGCAGCTGATGAGAGTTTGAGCTGCTGCCCTGGCCAGTCAGCAGCCCAACCTGTCATAACCACAGGAGTTCTTATTGCTCAGTAGTACTTCATGGAAGGATGTATCACTCTTTATCTGTTCTCGGTTTAGGGATGTTTTAGTTATTTTCAGTTTTTATTTTAAAATTAGTACCTGCCTTTGGGTGAAAATGCAAGCACAGTTCATAAGAGCAAAGGGCCTTCCTAATCCCAGGTGCAACTGCTGTTGTTATTTGTCATATTTCCTTCTTCAATCCCGTTTACTACACACATTCTTTCCAACACACAAACCAATATACATATAAATATAGACATACATGTGTATAATTTGGGGAGGGATGGTTTTTTTAATGAAAATGTAGATATTTAAAAGCTTTTGTTTTTACAAATTTCACTGTCAAATCAATGCTGACTCCTAATAGCAACGGCCCCGTGGAAGGTTCTGAGACTGTAACTGTTTATGGGAGTAGAAAGCTGTCTTTCTGCCAAGGAGCTGCTGCTAGTGGTTTCAAAGTGCAGACCATGAGGATGGAGCCCAGTGCATAACCACTACACCACCAGGCCTCCATACAGATCAACCTTATTATTATTATTTCAGCAATTTTGTATCCTCTGATATGAACATTCTTAATTGACATCCGTTCTTCCATTGTTGAGAGTTACATTATCTCCATTTTCCCCATATTACAAATAATTCTGCATGAATATTTTATATAAAAAATCTTGTTTCTCAAAAAAAAAAAATCTTGTTTCTCTTGTTTGAGTTTTGCTTTAGATCTCTAGAAATGGAATTACTAGGTGTTATGGATTAAATTGTGACCCTGAATATTCATGTTCTAAATCTTAGCTTCGGTGCCTGTGGTTATATAATTCTAAATAGTTTTATTGACCATGTAAAGGCATTCAACTGTGTGGATAGAGCATAACAAAGTATGGAGAAAATTATGAAAAAGGAGGCGTCCAGAACACCTCAATGTGCTATGCACATCTAAGAGACCAAGAGGCAGTCATTCAAACAAAATTAGAGAATAATAAAGCAAAAAACAAAAAAAACCCTCAGTGCCATCAAATTGATGCTGCCTCATCACGACCCTATAGGTCAAGGTAGAACTACCCCGAGAGTTTCCAAGACTGTAACGCGACAGTAGAAAGTGCCATCTTTCTCCCAAGGAGTGATGACGGTCCGGAGCTGGTGGCCTTTGGGTTCGCAGCCCCCAGGCTGCATGGTTTAAAATCAGGAGAGCTGTGCACCCGTGTTGTATCCTTTCAACATCCTTACTCAGTCTGTATGCTGAGCAAATAATCTGAGAACTGTACGAAGAACAGGCCATCAAGATTGGAGGACAGCTCATTAATAGCCTCTGACATGCAAATACCACAACCTTGCTTGCTGAAACAGAGGACTTGAAGCACTTGCTGATGAAAATCAAAGACTGCAGCCTTCACTATGGATTAAACATGAACCCAAAGAAAATAAAAATCCTTACAACTGGGCCATTAAGCAACATCATCATAAATGGCAAAAAAAAATTGAAAATTTCAAATATTTCATTTTATTTGGATCCACAAAATCGATACCCATGGAAGCAGCAGTCACTAAATCAAATGATGCATTGTGCTGGGAAAATCTGCCGGAGAAAACCACTTTAAAGTGTTACAAAGCAAAGATGTCAGAGCTAAGGTGCACTTGACCCAAGTCATGATATTTTCATTACCCTCATATGTGTCTAAAATTGGACAATGAAGACCAGTGTAGAACTGGTGCCTTTGAATTATAGTGTCGATGAAGATTATTTTATGTACCTTGGACTCCCAGAGACAGAAGAAACCTGTGTTGGAAATAGTAAGGACAAAATGCTCTTTTGGAGCCATGATGGTGAAACTTTTTCTCACATATTTTAGACATGTTACCAAGAGGGACCAGTCCCTGGAGAAGGATACCATACTTGCTAAAATAGAGGGTCAGTGAATAGGAAGGCCCTAAATGACATGAATGGTGCTGTGGCTGCCACGGTGGGCTCCATGATAGCAGGGATTATGAAGATGATACAGGAGCATCAGTGCTGAGACTTGATGGTACTCGATAACAAGAATGAGACTTGATGGTACTCGATAACAAGAATGATCCAGTTTGGGAATGGGTTTTTATTTTTTCACTTTCTTATTGTTCCCAAATAGGTTGTACCAATCAATTTTTACTCACCAAATATTTTATAATATTGGACATTTTAGATGGCATAAAGCAGGGCTCCTCAAACTTTTTACACAGGGGGCCAGTTCACTGCCCCTCAGACCATTGGAGGGCCAGACTATAGTTTAAAAAAAACTACGAACAAATTTCTATGCACACTGCACATATCTTATTTTGAAGTGAAAAAACAAATGGGGCAAAAACACCCGGCGGGCCGAATAAATGTCCTCAGAGGGCTGCATGTGACCCACGGGCCGCAGTTTGAGGATGCCTGGGATAAAGTATAAGGTTTTTGCTTTAATATATTTGTTGTTTTTTAAATTCCCCTCTGAATCAAAACCCATCAATATTCTGCCTTCAAATGACACACTTCAAACTGACAAACAAAAACAGATGAAGAAGCAAAGGATAGCAAAAAATCTTACCAAGCTAATGGCAACCAAAGCAAAGGCAGCGGTAGCAATATTAATCTCTGATAAATTAGACTTAAAAGTCAACAACATTAGGAGAGATAAGAATGGACACTGCATAATTATCAAACATATAACCATGATAAACATGCACACCCAGTGAAAGACTCTCGATGTACATCAACCAAATACTCTCAGAGCTGCAAAGAGAAATCTCCAGATTGACAATGATCGTGGGAAACTTCAATACACCACTCTCAAGGAAACACAGAGTATCAGGTAGGTTCTCAATAAAGGCACAGAAGAGCTAAACAACACAATCAAAAAGCTCACCCTCCTACATGTAGACAGAGTACTCCAAATAACAACAAAAAAATACACATTCTCTAAAATTCCTCTTCTGGTAACAAATCTTATGCTTTATTCCTGATTAACAACATCTTATAAGAATGAAAAATAAGGTCGTTATAAATAAAAAATAAATATGTATGCACATGTATATTTTACCAAAATACTGTTATTTATTTCTAAAGAAGGCACTATGATAAGTTCATTTAAGAAAGACAATTTCCATTTTAAGTGTTATAACTTAATTGGAATTTTTTCTTTAATCATAGAAAACCAAAATTTTAATCTTTGCCCTTTTTTTCCTCTGCCAGTCTGAGGATTACTATGACATGCGGCGACTGTATACAATTTTGGGTTCTTCCCTATTTTACAAGGTAAAGTAAAGCTTGACGTTTTTATAAATGCCCAACTTATATGAACAGAACTAGAGTAAATTTTCTGAAACTTTTGAAAACATGAAAACATGTATTCATCTTTTCTCTAAATGTATGTATTTTATGAATAAGATTTTTAAAAAAGACATATCTCCATACAGATAGGTATTACTTAAGGTTGATTTGGGCTGCATCTGACCATATACATGCCCATGATCTTTTTCTTTCTCTAACCTGGTCTCTTACAGCATTGGACTAAAGCTCTGAGTGTGGATTCTTAGGCTTTGACTGCAGGCAGCTGGCAGTGCCAGGAGTTGCTGGGCCCAGGCTGTTCATACTACTCAGGCAGGCAGAATGAGCTGCTGCTGCTGCTGCCAGCAGCCATTCCTCCAGCCTCTCTCAGTAAGTGCTGTCGCTGCAGCAGCGATAGCAGCTGTGATGACAAGGACAACGGGAGGAGGCTGCCATAAGATTTTAATACTTTGTTTATAATGTCCTATTTCACAGGGCATATTGTGGACGTGAAGTGACACATACCTGTATTTGTAAATGTAGTACATGTTTGTGGTATTACTACATTCTAAAATGTTTACAAATACGTAAAAGAAAAAATCAAAAACCCAAATATGTAAGAGAGAAAAGCACTAGTTTTCTTTTACAATTGGGTGTTTTTTATCTTATCTTAAAAATTAACCCTGCATCTTTAAGGAAAATCTTCTAACATTAAATAGTTGACTTCCATGTACAGCAAAGTAAGCAACAAACTTTTATAAGTACTTTCCATTTTTATTATTAAAATCAGTCAAAACCCATCTGAAGATGAGAGTAGTAGGGTACTCAGTAAAAAGTCTCTCCTGTCTGTACCCCCAGGTCCACACTTCACCCCCATGAAGGTCTGTTCTTCCTCATGTTACCACCTCAGTTACCTCAGATTAATGCTTTCAGATAAATGTTACTATGTGCTACAGTCTACATGTTGGATTTCTTACCTTGAATCTTTGATCTCCAGCTTGATCTCAGACAAAGCATTTATCCTTCCTGTATTTTCACTCATTCCCTTTGAAACGGGGTTATTATAAGTCAACTGAAGAAGTGTCAGTAACAGTATTAGAAATATATTATGGAATTACTGCTCATATCAGTACTGACTTTTGCTCTTTTGGGTTCAATCCAAGGGATATTTGATATGCAGTCATTTGCCTAAGGATGATCTTAATGATATTGCTGCATACTGTCGCCACCATTGCCTGCTCCCTTTAGCAGCAAAGCAAAGAATTGGTCAGTTGGTAATATGGAGAGAAGTGTTTCCTCAGCATCACCTCCAGCCTTCTGAAAACTCAAATACGGAAGTCTTTCCAGAACCAGAGGGGCGGTATTTTCTACTAATTGTCGGTTTGGTAAGTTTACCTTGACTCTTTCCTCGGGATTTCTTCTTTGCCATGTACTGCTTGTCTAAGTAAATACATAAGCAAACATAATTACTTAAAATTATGAGCATGTCAAATACCAGGGTTGAGGAATGCATTCTTTGCCCCTTATGCCTCTGTATGGAGAAATTTCTTATGAGAAATATTAATTCAGAAAAAAATTAGCATGTTCTAAAACTATTTTCTTCCCATTTTTGTAGTGGTTTTAAATTTGTAATGTGTTTTGGGAAATAGGACGGTGACATGAAAATGTATAGAATTAAAAATGAAACATATGTCGTTATAAATGGAAAAACTTAAAAATAATTGCGGCTTTCTAAATGTTACTTAAGGAATTCCATGTACAGAGAGGAGTTGTTGACAGGTATATCAGGATAGGGTATTGTGAGTGTTGCTTTCAAGGGAATGAAGAAGCACGGTGAGTAACCTAGAAAGAATAGCGAAGAAGGAATGTTTAATAATCATTACATATCTATGCCATGTGTCCATGTGTTAATATTATAAATGTGTATGTCCATATTGTATGCAAAATTTTCATGGTAGATAAACCTATATTAATTTTTCTTGTAGAGGCATTATACATTATGTGTCCTATTAGAAGCTGGGGGCTGTGCATCCAAAGCTATTGGGAAACCTGGACCAGACTACATATATGTGGATCAGGTTAAAACAACTCTTCACCAGCTGGCAGGAGTAGATTCCCGCGTAGAGGAAAGGCTAGCATCTGCGCCAACTCCCTGTTTGTCTTCTGCGGACTGGTTCCTTACTGGCTCACGTGACAAACTAGATAGTTTGACAACCTCACCCATCCTTAGTAGGCTACAAAGTACTTCCAAAGTAGCAGCCTCTCCAACCTGCAGAAGAACACTGTTTGACTATTCCTTAAAGACACACAAGCCCAGTCCTTCCCGGAGCATTGGCGGTTCTGACAATGGTTGTGATGGTGGAGAAGGTGTTGGCATTAGTCCCCACACTGATGCAGTGTGGAAGCAGAGAGAATCGCAGGGTTCTGATGGTCCAGAGGTAAGTGGTGCTTTGAGTAAGGTGTAAGCTTATTCAAGTGTGTGCATTCTGGGATAGTGTATCATTTCTCATTTTAACTAGCAGTGTTTTTAATCACTGTTGGCAAACCAATGATTTAGAATTTTAAAGTACCTTTAAGAAAATATATTACAAAATAAAACAGGAGCCTTTTGATAACTAGGACCGTCTGGTTAAGAGTACTTTCAGGTAGTTAAACTCTTGAATCCTGCTTTCCAACACTATCTCTTCTTTATTTCTAGTGACAACAGGGAATGTACTAGCTATAGGGCATTTAGGTTTAATTAAATAGCCATTATAATGTTTAGCAAAAACAAAAAGAAAATTAGAAACCACAAAATGTGTGTGCTTCAAAAAGTTCATGGGAAAACATCATTTTTTAATTTATTTTTATTGGCATTTAATTCATATGTCACACAATTAAGTAGCTCCATCTATGGAGAACAGTTGTGCAATCATCACCACAGTCAATTCTAGAACATTTTCTTCTTTCTTGTACTCAGGAGCTCCCCATTTCCTGCCCCACAATCTCCCCTGACATGTCCCTAGGTGATTATTAATCCAGTTATTGACTAAATTATGTGAAGCCCTTTTGTCTCTACTCAAGAATTCAAGATGTAAAGGTTTGTAAAGAGAATATTTGTATATGTGTATTGACCTTTGTTGCAAATATATCCATAAATGTGGTGGAACATACAGGGGACAAAACTATGAAAACGTCCTAGCCAGGCCAAGTACCTTGAAGGAGTGGGTCACTGAGACTAGAGATTAGGACTGTAGTCTTGAGGGATTCCAAGGTCAATTAGCATAACATAGTTCACAAAGATAATGCTCTGCATCAAAAGTTCCCGATTTATTTGACCCACTTCCCTTCTTTCACAAAAAAACAATTAACTCAGCACATCTCTGTCAATTAAAAACTTTTATACAATAGCCCATAATTCAAGATAAAATTTAGGAATCATCTTTGCAGCAGCCCCTGGATCAGAAGGTGGTATCATCCACTGTGGGAAACATTGCTCTATATTCTACTTTGGGTAGTAGAAACTGGGTTCTTAAAATCTCATGAGCAGCCACCTCAGGTACAACTAAGAGTGATGAACATCAAAAACATACAGAAATAAAGTCCAAGAAACAAATAGGCCACACAAATCCTAGCCTCTACAACCATGAGACGAAAGAACTAGATGGTGCCCAACTTCTATGAAAAGGATCACATTCGAAGGTCCTGCATAGAGTGGGAGAAAAATGTGAACAGGACTCAAATGTGGAATAGAATAGGTCTACAAGGGGAACAATAACACTAGAGAGAAAGCACACTGTAGAATAATCAGCCATAGGCCATCAGGAGGGGAGCATTTACCCAATGTCAAAGTTCAGCAGTGTTAGGAGAGTGTAGAGACTGGAAACACAAGAGGTTGGATGAATAGAGTTGCACTGAGAGAAGTGCAATGAATGAGATGAAGCAAAATGTGCATGAATTTTTTAATGTAAAACTGATCTATGTAATCCTTCACCTGGTTCAATATAAAAAGTTACCAAAAGAAAATTCACCCACTGAACAAATGTTGATTGTGCACCTACTAGGAAGCAAGAGACATGCTACACAAAAGAGATTTAAAGAATACAGCACAATCCCTGTCCTTAAGTATGTGAAGTGTCTCGGGAGGGAGACAAGCTTGCATACATGATTATGACAAAACTTAGTAAAAGCTTCCTATGACTGGCGAGTTTTCAGAGAGAAGCATGCCTCTCTGTAACATGCCTCTGGGCTCACTTTTAGCAAAAGATAAGCCAAAAGGCACAAATTACCATAGAAAATATTTAAAGAAAACATTGCAAAAGAGCAAGTCATTCGCGTACATCGATTTTTAATTTCTAACTTAAATCTCTGCTGTTTGATTCCATATATAGAAAAGCAGACAGGTACTAATATCCTTAATCATATTTTACAGGTCACTAAAAAGAAGTCTACTCTTCCAAATCCATTTCATTTGGGGAACTTGAAAAAGGAGCTATCAGAAAAAGAATTGGAAATATATAATACAGTGAAGTAAGAAACTTCCTTATCATATTCTTTTTACATTCAGACTCTTTTTCTTTCTTTGCGTTTAAGGAAGTTTTGCAATGTAAAAGTAAAATTTTAAAAAGTACATAGAAAGTTTATTCACCATTTATAATTATGATATATCATAGGTATTAAAAGCAATGTTTATTCCATTTATTAAATGCTTTTCATTACACATTTAGGAACATGAACATACAAACATATTTAAATATCAAAAGAAAAGTATTTTTTATGCTTTCAAAGACTTCCTACTGTGATTCGGATGAAAGTTTACAGAACAAACCAGTTTTTCATTCAACAATTCATAGACATTTTGTTTGATGCCATTATACCCACAGTTTAACAACACTCTTCCACTTCATCTCTGCTTCCCATTTTCATTGTTTCCTCCTTCCTTGCTGTCCCTTCTTGCCTTGGGAACTTTGCCTCTGGGCCAGTGCTGCTCTTTTGATCTCACTGGTTAATTCCTCTAAGCAGTATGCACTTCGCTGGTGTTCTTTACCTTGTACACTGGTCTGTTCTTGGCCTGAAAGCTGGGTCACAAGAGTAAATTCCATTCCAGGCCTGAATGGTGGTGGTTTGTTTTTTTGTTTTTTGAGTTCCATTCCACAAGTGTACTCCCACTTTTTCCAGGACCTTTTTAAGATCATTTTATTGAGGGCTCTTATAGCTCTTATAACAATCCATACATCAATTGTATCCAGCACATTTGTACGTATGTTGCCACCATAATTTTCAAAACATTTACTTTCTAGTGAGCCCTTGGTATCAGCTCCTCTTTACCCCCCCACCCTTATTACCCCTTGATAGATTATGTTATTATTATTTTCATATCACACCAACTGCTGTCACCCTTCCCCCATGTTTTCTGTTGTTCTTCCCCCTACAGAGGGGTGTATGGTAATGTGTCGATCGTTGTGATCAGTTCCCACTTTCTCCCTTCCACTCCCCACCTAACGCTACTCTTCTGGTATCGCTAATCCCACTCTTGTTCCTGGATTCTATGTGTCATGAGCCCCCATCTCTTATCTCTACCTGTGTACATGCTCCAGTCCAGTCTGAATTGAGAAGCAGCCCTAGGGTCATGATAGAGGGGGATAAGGAAGCCTCGAGTAACCAAAGGAATATTGTGTGTTTCATCGATGCTTTACTGCACCCTGGTTGACTCATCCCTTCCCTGTGGCCCCTCTGTGGGGGGATTGTTCCATTGTCTACAGATGGGCTTTGGATCTCTGCTCAACCCCCCTTGTTCTCAACAATATGTTTTTGTTTGTTATGTGTCTTCTGATGCCTGTTACCCGGTCCTCATGATCATGATGGCAGTGTGCTTCTTCCGTGTGGGCTTGTTGCTTCTTTGCTGAATGGTCACTTGTTTAACTTCAGGCCTTTAAGACCCCAGATGCTATACTTTTTAATAGCTGGGCAGCATCTGCCTTCTTCGCTACATTTGCTTATGCACCCATTTTGTCTTCAGCAATTGTGTTGGGGGGATGAGCATCTCAGAATGCTGATTTTTTTAGAACAAAGTGTTCTTGTATTAAAGGAGGGTATGAGCAGAGGCCCGAAGTCCGTCCACGACCCTAGGGTATTGCCGTATAAATATATGTACATAGGCCAATACCTCTATTTTTGTGGCATTAATGTATTTACATGTGGACACACCTATGCTTATACTTCTATCCATTGCTTTGCTTCCTAGGTCCTTCCTCTGTTTCCTTTTACCTTCCCCCTTCCCCACCTTCCTCTTAGGATCTCTATCTCCTCCTTGTTGTTGACTCTATTTCCCTAGTTGTTCCCCTGTCTATGGTGCTGCCTGCTCCCTGCACCCTTCCTCCACCACCTTCTCCCGCCAGTTCCCCCGGGGACTGTCAATCCCACTGCTTTTTCCTCGGGCATCCTTCCCATGCCTATCTTATATAAGTATGCAGACCGACTATGACATCGACCAAACAAAAAGAAAACAAAAGATGGAAATAAGAAAAGGAGAAGAAATATACATAATTCCAGGTCTGTTGGCTCACCTTCATGACTATCTCCTCACTTGTCGTGGGGAACACCAGGAGCTGCCCCTCCCGGCCTGAAGTCCATTTGGGGGGCTCTCTAGAGGCTTCGTAGCTTTGCTTTGCTCTAGTTGCTGATCTGTTATGTTCCCATCTTGGTTTGCCCAGCAGTGGCGGGTTCAGACCACACTACCTCCCCTCCATGAGACCCCAGAATTGTCCTCTGTTGCAGTCTGCTCCAGTAGGGACAACATGACACCACCTGTTGTCGGCCCCACAGTCCCCTCTGTGTCCCAGCAGCTCCCCGTAAGGACATCTCCTAAGGGCCTGGTGTGCCAGCATGGAGTCCAGACCCGCTGTCCCTTTTTCTTCTTTATGCCTGGTCTGCTTCCATGTGGGTGTGGCATGGTGGCCCCTCTCCTCAACCTGTAGGTTTAGTGTTGTTCTCTAGGGAGGGGGTCAGTTAGACTCTGGTTGGGGCCAGCCCTGTAACCCTCTCTTTTCATGCATTCCTCCACGTGGCCACTTGGCCCTCATGGTTTGGTGCACTGTACTGGGTTTGTATGCCCACTCCTAATTCTGTGGTGACAAAACCAGTACTCTCCTCCTGGGTGGGTTAGTGCCCTGCCCCACCCCCATGTCATCATCTCACTGTCACCCCAAGTTAGAGCTTCTTATTGCTAGATGGCTGGTAGGTGCTATGCTGTACCTTTGCCAAAATACTCATTCCTAATGTCTGAGTTATGGCTTGTTTCTCTCTGGTCCTCAGCCTCCCAGCCACATGGCCCCTTGGCCTCTGTCCTTCTTGGGCAAATGTTACAAAGCTCCTTTAGCACTTATAAATGCCCAGAGGGCAGCCCACTCTGCAGCCTGCCTCCTGCCCAGAGGCACTGGGCTTGACTGGTTCTGGAGCCCTGTCTTATGCTTTCACCACCTCCACTTCTCCTCAGAGAGCTTTCAGAAGAACTCTGCTCTCATGAATCTTTAGTCTTGGTGGTCGTGAGATGCTCTGTTCCTCTTTGGGGGATGGATGGCTCACTTTATACCTAGTGGAATAGTAGAACTGACCAGTCTCTTCATGGTAGTCTCATACACCCTATTTGCATGCTCCATTCAATCATTTGTTGGGATTTACAAAGACTGGGTAGAAGAGCCAAACTGAGTAATGTCACTTCACTGCACTACTGCTCTGCAATTTATCTTCATTTTTTGTCATGTAAAAATAATGTTTTCTATATATTTCACCCTGTCTCTAGCAAAAGGAAGTTTTTCTCCAGGACAGTGGTTTAAATATATAAATTTGCTTCTGATTTGAATCATGGGCTCTCCTATTTTAAAAGGTGTTAACATAGTATATTTATTACTCATATTAGTAGGGAGGATGTTCATGCTGTGTGGTTAATTTTAAAAGCATGATGTAAGACACTGCTGATTTGTATGTATATGTTTTTGTGAAATATGTGATATTTAAAATAACATGTACAACATGTTTTATTCAGAAACCAAGTCCTATCCATTCTGGATCCTAATAGTTTTGGAAACAATCTAAACCTTACTGATATTCCACCTAGTTCCTGTACCCATTTTTTCTCACCTAGTTTACTGTAATCGCCTTCCAACTCCTAGCCTAACCTGAACTACCCTGGGTCGATGTGCCACTGTACAGTGCCCTTTTCCTGAAGAAGAAATCTGCTTTTATGTGTGTTTTTGTGCAAATCTTTTACTTTTCTGTTGGGTAACTGCTTGTTTGAGGATTTTAAACTTTCCATTAATATACACTGGGTGAGTTTATGGTTTTCAATAAATAAACTTGCTCATTGTATTGTTTATAATTCAGAGAAATATTTTAAAAGATAACAAAACTATTAATTCAACACTCCTCCCCCACACCCAACCATAAAGGAATATCATTAATGGTTCCTTTTTAAAGAATAATTTCTGTTCTGTCCGTTTTCTCGAATGAGAGAAGTATGCGAATTTGTAGGTACAATACTTGCCTTTCCACCCTTTCCCTGGCCTCAAGAAAGCTGAAGGCCAGGAAAAAGGGAGGACTTTTTCTGATCATAAAAAATGTTGCCAGTAAGTCCATTCTGACTCACAGAGACCCTATTATATAGAGTAGCACAACCTCCATAGGTTTACTAAGGAGGATGAGGATGAGGATGAGGTGACTTGCAAGTGAACTGGTATTTATTTATCCTTGCAAAACATGTAGCATTTGGCTCCCTGAGGAGAATTCATACTGCCCTAGCCTGCACTTCACCTTCAATTAAATTTATAGCCCAGTTTCCTTTCCCTGATTTCATTAGTAATATCATATTGTAGATGAAAGTTTAATAAAACAACAAAATTCAAAATATCATGTTTACTTACATTTATTCTTTTTTTGTCTCCTCAAGATTGACATCTGGTCCTGAGAACACACTTTTCCACTATGTTGCTTTAGAAACAATGCAAGGGATTTTTATTACTCCTACGTATGAAGAGGTGGCACAACTAAGCAGCTCTGTCCACCCTCAGCTAATAAGGAATTTCCATCAGTGTTGTCTTTCCATCCATGCAATTTTCCAACAGACGTTGGTGGAAGAGGTAAGGCACTTCTATAAATATTGTTTGTTGACAGTTTCACTTCCAGTTCTCTGAACATTCTCTCTAGTTCTTTAGCCAATATGTTCTAAGAATTATTATTTTCATTTAATTAAGCCTGTTTTCAGTTGCCCAATCTAACTTGGATGCCAAAACGATTATACTGACAATCCTTAACTTTAAAACTTTGTTTCATAATACTAAATTCAATGTTCTGGATTAGTATTTCCAGAAATGATGGGGGTTGAGAAGCAAACATTGCTGTCAAGTCAGTTCCAACTCACAGTGACCCTATAGCCCAGAGTCGAACTGTCCATAGGGTTTCCAAGGCTGTCATCTGTACAAAAGCAGATTGTCAAACCTTTCTCCTGCAGAGCCACTGGTGGTATTGAACCGATGACCTTTTGGTGAGCAGCCTAGCACTTGATTAGCCTTTTTCAGGAAATGGGAGACCCATCGAAAAACTAGAGTACAGTATGGATTGTTATAAGAGTTGTAAGAGCCCCCAATAAAATGATCTTTTAACTAAAAAAAAAGTACTATAAATTAACTTCCCATAGTTGATATTTGTGACTCTACCATTATTTGATCACTAATATCTCCCAGTTGGTTCCTACAGTAACTGATAATTCTTTTAAGAATTCAACCAGCAACCTAGAGAATCTTGGAACACAACTGAGTTAAGATCCAACAACAGATAAATTACTGTTGCCAAAATGTTCTTTGCCACTTGATTGGTTGGGTTTTTGTTTTTCAATCCAGGATGAAGTTTCATTTAAATTTGTACCTGCTGCATAAGTAGGGATTCTGTAGGCAATTCAAATATCAATTATATTGTTGTTATGACAGGGACAGATAGACATTAATTTCTTGGAAATTACTTTACTTGTGACTGGTTAGATCTTTATAAACAAAAACAAACTCTCTGGAGACAAGTATAATGTATACAGTAATATATGTATTCAGGATGTCAAATTTGTGAAGTTTGAGATTAAAGTTTGAAAAGAGTTGTGTGAAAGAGAATAAAGAATTGTGGGTTCAGCCTTGACTCCTCCTGTTTCCTCAGCCATAAAATTGAGCAGGCAAAATTACCATATATGCTCGAGTATAAGCTGACCCAAATATCAGCTGAGGCACCTAATTTTGCCACAAAAACTGCATAAAAAAATAGGCTGAAAAACTTGGCTTACACATGAATATATATACAGTATATCATTTCTTATGACTCAAACAGAAATAAAATTCTCTACCTTACAGGATTTCTTCTTTGAGCTATCATAAATTAATTTTCAGCAAAATATACCCCAGTGTGCTCTGGGTTTTTATGCATCTCCATCCCTGTTTGACATAACTGGTAGATTCTATAAGAATGATAATGTTTAGCAATATAAATTAGCCTTCCCAGCATTAAATATTGAAGTACCTACTATGTTCCAGACACTGGGGCTGTAGATGTAGACCAAACAACCAAATCACTGCCATAGTCAACTCTGACTTATAACAACAAAAATTCTCTCATGGAGCTGCTGTTGAATTTGAACCTCGGGCCTTGTAGTTAGTGGTCCAGTACCTAATCCATACACTACCAAACAAGATAATCCTTGCCTTCATGAACTCTATCTTGTAATGTAGGAAGACAAGTAAAATTAGCAAATAACAACACATGTAGGTTGAGTGTCAAAAGAATAGTAAAACAGGGTAAGGATGACAAGTGGAGATTACTATTTTAAAAGACTCCTCTGATTATGTCAAGCAACAGAGACCTGAAGGAAGTGAGACTCTCGAGGCAGGTTCTGTCTGGAAGCTATACTCCCAGGAGCGGGAGTCTCAAAGAGCATTGGTGTGGACTGAGTGGGGGGGACCCAGGAGATGAGATCACAAAGGTGGGAGACTTCAGGTCATGGCATGACCTGATACACCCTGATAAGAACTTTGGACTTCGTTCTGGAGGAGATTGACAAAGGAAGGGACATGAGTTTTCTTGGTTTGGGGAAAGAAAGGACCATAGACTTAAGGAGTTATAAAAGTAGAACAAGATGATGGTGTCTTGGATTCGGGATATATTTTGGAGGATAAGCCAAAGGGTTTTATTGATGGATCAGACACAGGTTATAAGATAAAGAAAAGAGCTAAGGATTACTTTGCTGTTTGGGGCCTGAGCCTTGTAAAAAGTCTGTTGTTCCAAATGAGTCATTGTTTGGCTCTCCTTTTATCAATGGGAAATGTAGAGTTTAGGGAACAGTAGTAGTCTTGCCTTCCATGCAGAAGTCTCAGGTTCAGTTCTCTGCCAGTGTGCTTTATGTACAGTCGCCCCCTGTCTGTAGGGACTTGCATGTTGCTATGATCCTAGACAGGGTTTGATGATGCTCTGAACTAAGACAGAGTGGGAAGAAAGGCATAGAGAACTGCTTCTGAAACTCAACCTGTGAAAACCCAATGAATTACAGCAGTTCAGACCACAACCGATCCTAGGGATGGTACAAGACTGGCAAATGTTTCTTCAGATTATGCCTGGGGCCCATAAGCCAGGTGCTGACGTTATGATAGCTTCTCACAATAACAGCATGTGCCTTGCACTGCTCTGTTCAAAAATACAAAAATGAATAGCTATTGCCTCTACCCTAGGAAAAACTCTATCATCTACTGGGGAGGACAGACCTATAAACTGCTAATATAACAGAATGTAAATACTAACGTAAGGCTGTTAACAAAATGATCCCAGGGAGACTCAAGGGACACTTTATTGAAGAAGTCTGTTCCACAAGTTGACATTTCAGAGGATTATTGAGCACTCCAAGATGATGATAAACCCACTTTATGAGCCCATAGGATACACAACTATAAACAGAGGGCCTGCATACAAAAAACATATGCTAGTCTTGAAAGAGACACATGAGAAAAGTACCAGATAAGGTATCAGGATGTGGTATCAGACAAAAGATTGACATCACTTCTTAGAAAAGCAACTTTGAAAGAAAATGAGCAAACTCCAAAATATGAATAGGTTCACAATTCCAAGGTCCATACATTCAGAGGGTGTGCATGTTGTGCTAACTTCACGTGGGGCCCAATTACTCTGAATGAAATGTGAAGACTATGGTTTGCATGTTCATAAGTAGTGTCCCACGATGGTCACACACACACACACAAAAGATTTGAAACATGTGACCTTATAACACTCATGAAAACATATTACCCTAAGGGCCCCATAGTGGTTAAAATGTGCATCAGGGAAATTGAATCCAGAGGTCCTGATTCTGAAGGAATAACTCAAGTATCTGCACTTGAATTGTTGTGCTGGCAAAGAGTAGTGAACGTATCATGACCTGCCAAAGAACAAACAAATCTGTCATGGAAGAAGTACAGCCAGATGTTTTTTTTAAAGCCAGGATGCGTCAAAAGGGAGAATGATAGGGTGTTATACTTTAACCTAACTACATATGCCATAATCATCTTTACAATGCTCTCTGTCAGATAGCAACGTGATTCACGTCCCTGTACTATGGTCAAAGGGGATTCAATGAATGCTTAATCCTTAGGGGTACCCTGCAAATGGACTTGCCTTCTACAAACTAGGTGTTCAAAATTGAAGATCTGATACTGTTCCCTCCTTCCTAGTTGGATTTTATTATTCACTATCCTTCGATCACACAGGCTGGTGTGCTTCACACAGGCTGGTGTGCTTCTTCCGTGTGGACTTAGTTGACATCTCACTTAAATGGTGACTGGTTTCAAATAAGTCTTTAAGACCCCAGATGTTATTCTTTCTGATAGTGGGCACCATCTAGTTTTTTCACCACACATTTCTATAGCTCTCATATCTTCAGTGATCTCTTATGTTGACAAGTATTGAATAGGGCTACTTTTAAGATTTTCTGCTGTCATTGTGAATGAGCTTTTTCTCTGTTTATTTTGTCACTGTTCTTTTTGCGTGTTTGTTTCTTGTTTGTGTTTCTTATGAATTTCTGTATATGAAATCCAGGATATGTAAATATAGAGACAGTAACTGGATTAATAATTGCTTACAGGCATGCCAGAGGGTATGGTAGTGGAGAAACATTTATTGGGGTGATGATTGTACGACTTTTCTTAATATGAATTGTGTTAGTATAGGTAGACTATAGAAACAAATTAATAAACACACATGTGTATAAGGAAGAGGTTTATATACAAGAGCAGTTGTACATTAACAAAACATCCTAACCCAGACCAGTCCAAGGCCATAAGTCTGATATTAGCCCATATGTCCTATACCAATCTATAAAGTCCTCTTCAGACTCACAAAGCACATGCAATGAAGCCAAATGCAGGACAATCACAAGTCAGTGGGTAGAAAGTCTTTGGATCCAGTGGCATTGTAAGCATCTCATCCCTGGCAGGCGTCTCTCTGTAGCTTCTCCGGCTTCCAAGGTCTGATTGCGTCCATGGCTTATCTTCTACAATGTCTCCCAGGGAGTAGCAGAGAGAGAAGTGTCTTCTGCCTCCAAGGAGGAAGTCCCAGATTTCCCAGAATTCTCAGGAGAAGGCCATGCCCACACAGAAGTCTCATTGGCTATCTCCAGATTGACAGCCCAGACTCCACCCCTACACTCTTAATCCTTAAATTGACACCAGATTAGGTGACTACCACATGAGTGAACTATTAAATTGTTATATTATGTGAATTATATGCCAATAAAACTATCAGAAGAAAAAGTCAGATGACGAGACTTTGTCTCATGTATTTTGGACACCTTGTCAGGAGAGACCAGTCCCTGGAGAAGGACATCATGCTTAATAAAGTGGAGGAGCAGCAAAAAAGAGGAAGACCCTTGACAAGATTGACCGACACAGTAGCTTCCACAGGGGGCTCGAACATAACAATTGTGAGGATTGGGCAGGGCGGTCGATGTGTCGTGCTGTTGGGCCTAGGGTCGCTCTGAGTGCAAACTGTCTCCATGGCACCTGACAACAACCTGAGTCAGAAAATAGTGACCTAATTGAAGATGTCAAGATGGCTTTCTCAGAGAGCGCGACAATGTCTGAGAACATGTATGAAGACATCAGTGTTCTCATTGGTGCACTGAAACAGTTGTACTTCAGAGATTGCCAATTCTACTCATTACATCTGATGCCTACTGGAAGTTGAAACACTCCTACGATGATAGATTCCAAAGAGCACGTAGAAACCTTCATGAAGCACTGAAACTACTGCCTCATCCTCCCTGAGAAAACTTCTGGTGCTTCCTGGCACATCCAAAGAGTGGAACACTTCATAAAAAGAAGAATCATGAATGCAGAGAACATTGAGATTGATTTTTGGCCCAACCCTTATGAAATCTTCAGAACGAGACACAGTGGTTACAATGGATAATACATGATAAAAAATAGTAGTAGAACTAATTAAAAACAAAGATATTTTATAATTTAATCAGCTCTTAATAGCTGAATTATTCCTTGGTTAAAAGTTTGAGCATCTAATCAGATTAGAATGAAGGCACTTTTTTCTTTTTATAGGGTCTCTCAGTTTTCCTTGTGAAACAGTGAATACATGCTTTCCAGTTCTAGTAATCCTGGGTGCTTGTCACAGTTATTGCATGATTAGCCCCCGGTTTGGCCAGGGAGCCTCAAACAAAGAAGGCTGCTAACCTGCCCTGCCTCCTCGTGCTGGGTCACCTGTGGTTGTAAGACAGCATGTTTCCCAGAGCAAATCTGCCACGGTTTTGCTTTTGAGTGCTATGTCACTGGTGTCTGATCCTCATGCACACATGCCCCCGCGATGAATAAAACAGCACTGCCCGTGCATTACCCATAGGTTCCCATCTGTATGTGGTCTGCCACCTGCTCACGGGAAAGGAGAAGTAAAAGATAATGGGATTTTCCCCAAAACTCTATGAAGTCTCCTTGTCGATGTGAAAATATCTTTGAAATAATACTAGTAATATCTCCATAGTGCATATCAATTCACAGCAAAAGAAAGCACGGACTGGACGGGATCACGCCGATTCTACAAAGGCAGCGTCTTCTCTCAACCCCGTGAAAGAGCACGGCGTGCTGTTTGAGTGTTCGCCTGAGAACTGGACAGATCAGAGAAAAGCACCGCCGGTCGTGGCCTATTGGGTAGTAGGGTAAGTAGGAGGGAAATGTTTTGAAAACTGAACTGTCAGAAAAGTAGTGAAGGAAACAAGTGTAAACTATATGCATGGAATTAATAACCTAACCATAATATTTGAATAAATTTAAGATTTTATTTGGTAAATACCTCCTGTAAATCCTTCTGAAATATTTCTACTTAAAAGTTATTCCATTATATTACAAAATTTTATTAGTCTACACGAAACATTCTTAACATTTTATTCCTGTTTTTGCCTACCTCCCTTCTTTTTCTCTTTGTTTCCTTCCTTTTCTCCCTTCCTTTCTGTCCTCCTTCCCCAAAACTGCCAGCCCCTGCCTCCTCTGCCCCTGCTGTACTCTGCCCCATCCACTGCCACTCTCTGCCTCTGTTCTTGTGTACCAGCTCCATTGCCCCGGAAGAATCCCTTCTGCTATTCCTGCTGCGTGCGATGATGTTAGATCATCCGTTTATGTTTATTTTCTCTCTTTATTGTCTTGCTGTACTCAGCTTCATTTAGTCAAAAATAAGATCGGTTTCTGTAAACAGCATCTAGAACATTAATGGTCAATTGATACATTTATAACAATTTAGTGAATGGAGTTGTGCCTGACAAAATATGATGGGGTGTGTGATGTGACCAATACAAAGATCAAGAAATGACCATTTCTTTAATTTCATGCAAGTGATCATTGCTTTCAAAAATCTTACATCTAGCAGAAGAAATATGATTTATGCTCAAATATATTATATACTTGTAGTAAGATCTATATACGAGGGGCTACCCAAAAATCCTGGAATTTTATTTTATTTTTTCCCAAAGCTATGTATTTTTTTTAACAAAGCAACCTTATCGCCTTCAAAGTACTCTCCATTACACGTAATACAGTTGTCAAATCTGCGATTCCACTCCTGCTCACTTGGGGGTAGGTAGGCGCACTATGAAAGCTCTGTCCAGCGGAGCTTTGTTCCGGTTTATTTTAGGTACCCCTCACATATGTGTTTACGTGGCTATGTAATGATTTATATATAAATTCTAGATAACTTATGAATTCTGAATATGATTGATATAGTAAATGATATTTAATATTTAAATACGAATCCTAAAAATATGAATAGCAATAAAAATGTTCAAAAATCTGTGTCTTTAAAATTATGTTACACTATCGACGTTACTGACTAAATGTAATGTTGTAAAAACAACTGAGGGTATGGTAATGATTACTGGAAAGGACGATTTTTATACTCTAGAACAATGAAACCAATTCATCTAAGGTATAAAGTAATTCATTTAGCATTAAGCCGAGGTGAATTTCACCTGGATTTAGATGAATGACTTCTCAATTGCCTCCTGTTCTTTTAAAAGCAAATCAAATCCGTTGCGGGGTGTGGTGGAGGCGGTTCGTTTCTAAGATGCTCTCCCTTTCCTCTACAGGCGACTCTTTCTTCGCCCTAAACCTCAGGAACTGTACGTCTGTTTTCATGACTCGGTGACAGAAATTGCCATCGAACTGGCTTTTAAACTGTTCTCTGGATTAATCTTGTAACTGTGTGTTCCTGCGGCAGAGCTGCAGCAGCGTGGAGCACCATATAGTTTTGGAACTGCCAAAATCGATACACAAAGCGGATAAGTTTGAGCTCCTTTTCACTGTTAGTATTAAATATTAAGATGAGATGCTGTTTCTGTTTCATACACTAAATTTTATATACCGTATATACTCAAGTATAAGCCGTCTCGAATATCAGCCAAAGCACCTAATTTTACCACAAAGACTACATTAAAAATGTGCTGAAAAAGACTCGGTTTATACACGAGTATATACAGTAATATTGCGAGGTTTTTTTGAAAAGACTTGATCAGAAATATATGAAGAAAGCATTAATTTATGACCATTTTGGCTTATAACTAATTTATTGACTAGTTTGAAATAATGTTGTGTTTTATGTAAAATTGATGTAAGAAACACTTAGCTTGGAAAAATACTCAATCTGTTGTATATTTTTTTCATGACTATTATACCTGGCAGTGAAAGAATCATGAAATTGGGAGGAGGTGGCCAGGTATGGAACTGATTAGCACTGTGACTACGAGCAAGTCTTTTTACCTCCCTGAGCTCAAAGTTTCCATGTATAAAAGTAAGATGATTGCATTGAACTTTCTGAAACTTTCTTTGCCCACTTGTGTCTACATTTCTTAGCAGCTCAAATATTTTTATCATAGATACCTCAAATTGGGATCGGACGAGGAGATAAAAATTAAACTTAAAAAATACGTATTTGATTGCCTTTACTCTTTTTAAGTAAGCTTTCTTTTGACTAGGATATATTGCTTAAGCTGCTTGTTCATGAGTTTTCATTGTTATTCTTTTTCTTAAATACATTCAGATAAACCATATATATTTTATATAGTTGATGAATTTTATGAAAATTGTGTGAAAATTTTTTTATCAAATTACATTTAAAACACTGAAAACTTTGGCAGTTTCCTTTTGTAAAATTCTAATTTTTCCTAATAAATGCAGATTGTTGTATATTGGGTTTCCCTAAAAGAGAAACACTCAGAAAAGATCTTAACAAGTGCTGCCTTCTCCGTTGATATTTACCTAAGAGCTCTTCCGGCAGGCTTAGATGCCCCAGAGAGTATACAGCACTCGGTTGTTTCTTCTTCAGGACTTAGAGATTTGGAATGCAAGTTATGAGTACATCCAAAGGCAGTCTCCAATCTCTGCTGCCTCAAATGGAGACCCTCAGGCGTGGTCAGAACTCACTGCAGAATATAGTGTGTGCTTTCATTTAGTTTTGGTTTTAAAAGAAACACTGTTATCCTTCTTGTCACCATCTTAAAAATTTTTTATCCAGGTTTTTCCATGTATTATCTCTGTATACTTGACTCATAAGTAACCTGTGGGCCTTAATTATAGCGCTGGCCCACAATGCTATTGGGGTCAGGACGAGAAACCTTTATTCTTGAAGTGTTATGAAAAATGACTTGGAATATTCCATTAAGTCAGATGATAGCCTTTTGACTGCTTTCTTAGGACAGCTGATGTGTGTGTATTAAGAGACTTTGTTTAAAAGTCTTTAAAAATAGCTCAGAGTATTCAAATGTATGGATGTGTCCCTAGAATACTCTGAGCTATTTTTAATACTGAGAATTATTAATAAAATCCAGGTAATCAGTCTCTTCATATTTTTAGACAGATTGAAGTACAATTTGGGATTTTATCACAATGGACAATTTTGATTTCATTTAATGAAATTTTAGTCTATCTAAATACTTTCCTAATATTAAAGAATCATAAGACAATCACTGCAGTAAATAAGAAAAGATAAAATGGACTGTTGTTAGTGCCATTGAGGCAGTTCCAGCCGACAGCGGCCCAGTCCGCAACAGCACAAACCACTGCCCAGTCCTGCACCACCCTCACACCTGGGCCTGGGCCTGAGCCCTTTGCCGCAGCCACGATGTCAGTCCATCTCCTTGAGAGCCTTTCTCTTTTGCTCTGCCCTACTCCTCAATTGATTGACGTCTTTCTCTAGGGACTGGTGTCTCCTGATAACATGTGCAAAACAGCCCAATGATCTTTTAAAAGGGAAAATCGTGCAATTTCTGTGTTAGATCCCAATAAAACGGTTTTGGGGGGAAAATGGAAAAATCATTCACTAGATTGTAGTTGTATTGCAGAGACATATTTTAAAGAAATAAACAAAACATTATTACCTTGATTTTCATTTCGAAATAGATATTAAAGTAGTTAACTTCCTACTGTTCCAAGTCAACAGATCTAAAAGTAGGTTAATACAATTATTAAATAATGAGTGCCTGTCATTGTATTAAGTAAAAAGAAGTAACATTGCAGATGCCCCAGAGACATGCTTTGGCAGATATGGAAACGTTCTTAAGCATCTAGCAATGATCCCTTTCACCAAAGACTACAAAGTGTCAAAGACAGTAAAACTAACATTAAAATATATATATTAAGTACTGCCTTATTACCATCATATATCTTGATCTGAAAAACACACCCAAAAGATTACATTTGAAGGTTTCTCCTGTCTTTAGCTTTTTGCTTTTGTGAAGTTGTAGAGAATATTTCTTACCTATGTCACAGGACTGGACAGTTGATGATAATGTATACTGGCAAGATAGTAAATATACAATGTCTGTTTTTGTTTGTTTTTATTATTCCTAATACAAATCAGGAAAAGATGAAAATTAACTTACTAGTTTTGTCTTTTTTGAACATTCTTAATAGTATTGTGAACAATTACTTGTTCATTTATGCAAGTTCCCTCTAAATAGTGCCTGGCACATTTAAGGGCTATCGAAATATTAGCATTTATTATTATTTTTATTAAATGTCCATTTGTTGAAAGCCAAGGTGTCAGGCTGCCCATTCCTGCTACTATATATAATGTTGGAAAGAAGCTGGGAAAAATTATTTAACATTAAACCGGTTAAACACTTTTTTAAAATAAGGATTTATACTTTGGATATTTTAAATAACTTATTAAATGTTATTAGTACTTTAATTCATACACTAACTGTGAGGTTATTTTATTTTGCAGAGTTGTATTACTATATTGAATATAACTGAAAATATTTTTATACTACTGGATAGTTTTTAATAAAGATGATTTGGAAATTGGTTTGTAATTGTATTTTATTTTTCGTGCATTCATCTAACAAATATTGTTTTAATTTTCACTCTGTGCCAAGCACTGTTCTGGGCACTGGGGATACAGCAATGAACAAAATAGCTGAAAATTTCGTGCCCTTGGGAAACTTATAGACCACAGATAACCAGATAGGCCATAAAAAAGCTAATTAAGCATATGATAAATGCCAAGGGGGAACTTGGAATCAAACAAGAAAAGAGGATATGAAGTGTAGGGCTTAGGTTGACCTTGTAGTTGGCTACTGTGTTAGTCAAGGTTGACTAGAGAAACAAATTTATAGACACTCATGTGTATAAGAAAGAGTTTTATTTAAAAGAGCAATTGTATATTGAGAAAACATCCCAGCCCAGTCCAGATCAAGTCCCTAAGTCCGATATTAGCCCATATGTCTGATACCAGTCTATAAATTACTCTTCAGTGTCACACAACACATTCAATGACACCAAATTCAGGAAGATCACAGGCCAGTCGGTGAAAAGTCTTGTGGATCCAGTGGTGGTGGAAGCATCTCAGCGCTGGCATGGGTCTCCATGTGGCTCCTCCAGCTTCAAAGTTCTGGTTCCATCAGTGTAGCTCCATGTGTCTTGTCAGCAGGAAGACGAAGGAGAGAGAATGTGTCCCCCCTCTAGGGAGGAAGATAGGCCAGTCACACACAGAGGCCTCATTGGCTGTGACCAGATTGACAGGCTAGATTCCAGCTCTTCTGAAGTTGACAGGAGATTATGTAACTGCCACAGCTGACCCGAGAAAAGTTCAATGAAGTGACCCCATAATTAGGTTTAGCAGAGAAGCTAACCATACTGACTTGTAAAAAAAGTATAGGGAACAGTGAAAATGTACTGAGACTGTATATTTATGTTATCAACATATAAATCACTAGAATCCTTTTCCTTATATTAGTAAATACAGTGCAGTATATTAAAATTAACGGCTTCAACTGATCAATTGAGATGATTCAGAGCTCTTAATTTAAAAAAAATACATTTCAGAGAAGGCATTTTCACTTTTTTCTGTCTATAGCAATGCATGACAAAGGAGATTGATGATATCGAATAATGATACGCTGTGATCATTGTCAACTGTCAACAATGTCAGTTACATTTGAGGGAAAGGAAGAAATTTTCCAGGGGAGCAGCAGGATCTCTGTTTTTCTATCCTTAGAGAAAATTATGGTCCCCCGAAATAAATAGATGGTTCCTTTTGACCTTTTTGGCATCTTAAAAAGACAGCTTATCTGAGTGTGACTCAAGCAACATCCACACCCACACCCTCCCTTATATTTCATTGTGTGCTTGTTAATGCTTTAAGCTCTCACTGGGTACAGAAGCCTTTCATTTCTTAAGATTTTTGCAGATAAAAAGCCAATTGTTTCTTGAACTCAGCAATGAATTTTAACTAAGGGTTTTCAAGTCATAGACTTGAAAAGTCATCGTGAGGCAACCAAGTTTTTAGACCTAAAAATAATGATTCATATGATTGCTTTAGAAAGATTAACCTGACAGCAGCAGTACAGTAGAGGCAGACTGAAAACCCAGTCAAGATTCACATAACTATTGCACTCATTCTGTTGGAGAATCTCGTCAGGGTGCAGTACAGATTCCCTTATCTGTACCAGTTTACATGCTCTGGTCTAGCCAGATTTGTAAGGTAGAATTGGGATCATTACAGTAGGTGGGAGGAAGCATTAAAGAACTAGAGAAAAGTTGTATATTTAATCAGTGCTGTACTGCTCCCTGACTGGCTCATCTCTTCTTGTGACCCTTATGTAAGGAGATATCCAATTGTCTAAAGATGGGTTTTGGGTCTCCACTCCACCTTCCCCCTCATTCACATTGATACGATTTTTTGCTCTGGGTGTTTGATGCCTGAAACTGCACCAGAAGCTGCCTGACGAGATTCTCCAACAGAATGAGTGCAAATAGTTATGTGAATCTGCCTTTTAAGCTGTAGAGTTTCAAAAATATAAAACAATACTACTCTTCTCACCTTTGTTTTGAAAAAGTTATGTTTTTAAATACTTAGCAGGTAATGTGTTTATAATAATTCTTAATATTTAAATTTTTACCATAATTTCTCATATGGTAAATGTAAGTGGTCATTTGTCTTCTTACTTTTTGTTTAGTTTTGCTGATGGTTGGCCCTGTAGTATGTGTGTGTCAGGATCAACTCAATGAAAATAAATTTGTTATATATGTGTGTGTGTGTGTATATACCTACATTATAACATAAGCTGCTTTATAGTCTTCAATAATTTTATGGGTGAAAAGGACTACAAAAAGTTTGAGGACCACTGCTATAGATTATTGATTTTCATTCACACACATTAAAATCACGTCAGGAAATTGTACCCTCATTGCATAATTTGCTCACACTACTCTTTGGCCTGTATTTAATTTATATTAATAATTCTGCACATTTAAAGAGGGAGGGAGTGAAGTCGTGTGCTTTTAAAATTTTTTAAATGATACTGGAGTTTAGGGCGGAGCCGAGGTAACAATGCATTTGTGACCCATTAGGCTGCTGACTTGCTGTTAAACTCGTTACTCAGTTCAGCTCTGGGGACCAAAGATGAGGCTTTCTATTCCACTAAAGATTTATAGCCTTGAAACCGAAAGGGGCAACTCTGCATCCTGTAAATTCACAATGGGTTGGAACTGAGTTGATGGCAGTGGTTTTTGGTTTGGGTGGATTTAGGGTCAAACTGCTAACCTTGTGGTTCGGAAGCCCAAACCCACTATTGCCACTGAGACTCCTTGGTTAATATCACACTATTGCTTTAATGCCACTAGAGCGCCCTTGTTTCCGCTGCTAAATTTCTTCATACATATTAGCTCGGTTTGGCCAGAACCCATGGGCTCCAGGCCCTCTTCGAAGCTCACCGGCTCCCAGCGCCCACAGTGAGATGTGCCTAAGCGCCTGCGCACCGGCAGTCACGTGGCCGGGAGTCACGTGCAGCACGCTGACGTCAGGAGGAGGCCGTTGGAGGCGCCTGCGCAGCTCTTGCAGCCTCCCACTCTCCCGCCCTTACGCGCTGGTGTCCCGACGTCCTGCGCGCCTTTCCCGCCAGTAAGAAGTGAAGCGGTTTTCTGAGGTCCTTCGGGTGCCCTCACGCGCTCACGGTTTTGAACTTCGGCGGTCAAGACTGAAGTTTGTTGCCCACCATGCAGCGTGAGCCTGGGAAGAAGAAGGGAAAGGACACGCGGCTGTTTGACCCCAAGTCTTTCGGGAGGGACCTGCTCGCAGGCGGTGTCGCGGCCGCCGTGTCCAAGACAGCAGTGGCGCCCATCGAGCGGGTGAAGCTGCTGCTGCAGGTGCAGGCATCGTCCAAGCAGATCAAACCCGAGGCGCAGTACAAAGGCATGATCGACTGCCTGGTGCGCATCCCTCGGGAGCAAGGTACGGACGACACCGAGCACCAGCTTTCCGCAGTGGGGGTGGGGAGGCGGGGCGCCATGGCGGCGCGGGGGAGGGGGGGGGCAGGGGGCATGCGTTTCCTCCTTCACCTTCGGAAAGTCCGTCTTAATCCAGGCGCGCTGGGCTTTCCAGCAGCTTTGAAGGCCTACCCGTAACCCCGTCTCTGCGTATCGCCTTGGGGGTCCGTGCCTGCTTCAGAAGTCAAGGCGGTGGCCTTTAAGGCTTGAGGGAGATGCTATTAGGCGCTTAGTTATAACCCGTGCTTTAAGATACTTCCGTGTTGAAATGGTGTATTTTAAGAGTACCAAGATGGACGCATTGACGCCTGCCAGCGCCTTCCTTGGTGCCTATTTAGTGAGAAGAGGTTTCTGCTTATTCTTGAGAACTAGAAGACCAGGGCATAGGCTAACGCAAGCGACGGACTCACTTTTTAAAAATTATTTATTTAATCCATTGGGAGCTCTTATAAATATAACATTCCATAGTTCAATCACATCAAGCAGCATTGTACAATTGCTACCACAATCAGTTTCATTCTTTAACTCCTTGCTATCAGTTTCTCTTTGTCCCATCCCTCCCCCACCATACCCCCCAGGAACGGTGTTCTTTTTTTTTCCTTTTTTTTTTACATAATAGTTGTGGGTTTGGGGGCATATTTTACACAATCCAATATATCCATTCTCATACAATTCTATTGTACAATCCCATCTAGTGGGATAATATTAAATAATATTTTATATTGCATGAAATTTTTAGGAAGCACCAGAAGACTCAGTAATCAAGAGAAATAATATGTTAATATAATTACTTTTAAAATCAAAATTAATGTAAACTACTCATGACCACAAAAATAACAAAATTTAAAGATATTAACAGCAGTTTCACCTACTAGGTGGGTGCCCTTGCAAGCTTGGACACTGCCACCAATACCCCAGTCTCACCCAAACTATATTGGAGTTTGAGGGGGGAAATCCATTAATAATGATCATATCTATAAGTTTTTGATAATTTTTCATTGTGTGATTATTCATATTAATACTGAAGTACTTGTAAAGATTGAGTAATGAAAATGCTTTGTGAAATATTGAAGGCCATCTGGGTGCAGAATGCTTTTAAAGCGAGGGTAAATTGATCAGAAACCTTTAATCCACCCATAATAAAACCAGACCCACTACCTGTAATTTCAGCTCATTAAAAGCAAACTGTCATCCAGTCTATTTCGAATCCTAGTGACTCTATATAGGGTTTCTAAGGAAGTACAGCTGCAGAGCAGATAGCCTCAACTTTCTCCCTCTGAGAAGATGTTGGGTTTAAACCACAGCAACAGCCCAGAGATTAGCAGTCCTCCGCCAGCAGGGCTCCTCCCAGGTAAGTCAAAGTCTCAAAAGACCAAACTCAGTGCCATCGAGTCAATGCCAATTCATAGCAATCCTGTAGAACAGGCTAGACCTGCCCTGGTGGGTTTTCGAGACTCTAAGGGAGCAGAAAGCTCTGTCGTTCTTCCGCAGAGCCACTGGTGGTTTCAAACTGGTGACTTTGCAGTTAGCAGACCTTTACATAACCACTCCAGGGATTCTTCCAGGTAGGTTCTTCTCCCATAAAGCATTCTCTTTGGGATTGTGGGCACACTACTTCCTGGCCTGGTATATAATGTATATAGGAGCAGAATTAGAATCTTAAAGCATAATCAAAAGTGTAAATTTAGAATGCCAGTCTTGAAGCTGAGCTCAGATATTTCAGTCCTCCCAAGCCCATTCATTTTATCAGAGCTAGCTTCCCCATTTCCCCTGAGGTTTTTATAAGAAAACTTAGTACCTTTCACTTTAGCTTGTGTCTTAAGACCTTGTCAGAGAGCTATGGGCCTCTTTATTATTAGATCATCCACTCTAAATATTTAATCTGGTAATGTTAAACACAAGAATCCAAACTCTATTTTTTTTTCTCATTCAGATGTTGTTAAAAGCCCTCGAGTCAGTGCTAACTCAAAGCAACCCTGTGCAGTTTGGGGGCCATCCTCACAATTATTACGTTTGAGCCCATTGTTGCAGCCAGGGCACCGGTCCATCTCGTTGGAGGTCTTCCTATTGATCCAATTAACTTACATTGTAGGTTTTTTATTTTTTTCCCGATACTTAACAATGTGACTCTTATAAGTTAGTGTTCTGGTTTTGCCTGCTAAGACAGCAGGAACTTTAAGAAGGTGCTTCCTGTTCTTATGCACAGGTTCTTGTTAGAATACACCATATTACATAGAATCTTACAAACTCAGTACTGTGGAGCCAATTCCAACTCATAGCAATCCTCTAGGACCAAGTAGAACTGTCCCATAAGGTTTCTAAGAATGTAATCCTTTTGGAAGCCGAATGACAGTCTTTCTCCCTGAGGCAGCTAGTCCATTCAAACTGCCATCCATCTTTATGGTTAGCAGTACTCCCCCGCCACCCCATCTTTTACTATTTGCAACAGGGATAATATTGCCATCTAGGGGCATTTTTGGAAACTTGGAGGAATTTTTTGTTTACCACAAAGGTAAATCAGTTGCTCTCAAGTGAGTTCTGACTCTTAGTGACTTCATGTGCGTCAGAGTAGAGCTATGTAAAGTTTTCAACGAGTCGTTTTTCAGAAGCAGACTGACAGCCCTTTCTTCCAAGGCACTTGTAGGTGGAGTCAAACCTCCAACTTTTGGGTTAGTCACCAAGTATATTAATCACCATAAAGATGTAAGGGGACACCCATCTATGGACAATGGAGCATCCCCTCACAGGGGTCACAGGGAGGGGGTGAGTCAATCAGGGTGCAGTAGAACTCAAATGGATCACGCAGTATACCTCTGTTTCCTGGAGGCCTCCTCACCCCTACCACCCCCACTATCAATGCCATCTCCCATTCTAGACTAGACGGGAGCATGTACATAGGTATAGGCAAAAAATAAAACTCACAACACACGGAACCCAAGTACAGGAATGAGAATAGAGATATCAAAAGGGTAGGGGAAGGGAGGAAAAAGTGGGGAGGGAGGGGAGCACCAATCGCAATGAATAGCATATAGCCACACCCCCAGTCGGGGAAGAACAACAGAAACCAGAAGGGAAGGGAGATAGCAGTCAGAGTGATTTGAAAATAATTAACAATCTACAATCTATCGGGACCATGAGGTTTGGGTGAGGCGGGTGGAGGAGGGAAGGAAAAAAGGAGGAGCTGATCCCAAGGGTTCAATGGAAAGTAAATGTATAGAAAAGAACGATGGCATATATGTACTAATATGTCAGATACAATTGATGTATACTTTGTAACAAGTTGTAAGAGCCCCCAATAAAATGGGGAAAAAAGATGTAAGGGGGCTTCAAAATTTTTCTGAATAAGAATTGAAAGATAATGGAATTTTCCCACAATCCTAAATTGCAGCGATAGGTCAAGAATGCTAAACATTCTGTCATGCACATGCTAGTCCTGAAAATACAGACTTGTTCTGCAACCTGAATAAATTTCAGATCCCCCATGTCATAGCAGAAAAACCTGTTTGTGAGGATCCAAACATAAAACCTAACTGATTTGGTTATCAACCCAAACTATTTGGGACATAGCTTTATAGGTATTGATTCCCAAGATTACAGATACCTTGTAAATTGAAAACAGAGTATACGTATTTTGTTGAGAACTTTGCTCCGCAGTGTTTACCATTTTGAAAGTGCATGTCTGCAACTCTACTGTGATATTTGTAATCAGCACCTATATCTCCATTTATAACTATTGCGTTTATAATAATTGCACGTATATATGTGCAAGATATATTTATTAAACCTTTTTTCAAATTGTCAGTGTGTATCCTAAATGTTGATCATAAGTAGAGGCAAGCCGCTGCTTATTGTCTCTTAAGGTATGGCTGTGCTCCATATTTATGTTAGGGAGCCACTGGTGGTACAGTAGTTAAGAATTCAACTGCTAACTGAAAAGTTGGTTCAAACCCAACAATTGCTCTGTGGGTGAAAGACATGGCAGTATGCTTCTATAAAGATCCCCGCACAACCACAGAGTTGATTATAGCTCATAGCAACCCTATAGAGCAGAACAGAACTGCCTCTTGGGGTTTTTCCAAGGCTGTAAATCTTTCCTGGAGCAAATAACTTTGTATTTCCCCCAAGAAATGGCTGGTGGATTTGAACTACCAGCCTTGAGGTTTGTGGGCCAACACTTCACCCAATAGCCTTGGAAAGTCTGAGGGCACTTCTGTGGGTCTTCTACACGTTAGAATCAACTTGACAGCTGCTGATTTGGTTTTATGGTGTGGTTATGACTCATATTTACTTACTTTGATATGCCTAGTATATTTTAAGTTCTTTTCCGTTAGCATTTTACGTAGTAGTGAAGCCATTATAGAGATTCTCCCTCCCCATTGGTGAATAAGTAATTGTCAGAATTTTATTTGTGGATAATGATGCATTATAAAATATTATATAGAGAACTTGAGCCATATAGGATTAGGACTCACTGTGTTAAATCATTCTCAAATTTTATTAGCAATATATTTTCTGAAATTTAGTTTATCTCCCTTTATTGAACGTCAAGATATATGCCCATCTCAAGTGTTCTGCAATTTGTCTTTCATAATTCCTCTCAGTTTACTGATATCTTTCTATTATTTAAAAATTCGGAATGAGTCTAACAGACATCACCTTAAAAAGGCATAACTATATACTCTTTCATTGTTTCTTAATTTACTCTATTTTTTTCCTTGCTACCTAATATCTCCATACTGGCTCTGACTATAACTTTAAACACCTGCTAACTGTCCTTTATATTTTCATAAGGTTTTATTTGCTCATTCTGGACTGAGCTTAATACTGTTCTTAAAGATTTATTTTTATAATTGGTTTTATGACCTTCCAATTTTGTACATACACTTTTTATTACTTTTAAAAATTTATTACACAGGTAATATGTGTGTAATATTAGAAAATTAGAATATATAGAGATGCAAAAGG